TTTATAAGGTCTGCCAGTTCATTAACACCAGAGATTTCTTAGAGTCTATATTTACACAACTCGCGTGGTACCATTTTTTACAAAAACCATCGCATAATAGACCATTGCAGTCATTAGTAATTAAAATATTGCAAATTTCACAGGGAGAATCCTCGTCACCAACTTCCACCATACTCACTCAGTGATGATTAGTATCTTCGTAATCACAACTAACGTGTGTATTTATAAATATCACAAATGTTACGAGGCATTCAAAGCACTACAACTGGTTTGGGCTGTACTATAAAACAGTATTAGATTTTACAAGTTTACTTGGGGTATAGGTCTACTTAATTATACAGATACCTTTTGCACACAACTTTCACTGCGTTCTTGTAATTAATGAGTGCAGTTAATGCAAAAATGATTAATTTTATGTTTAACGCAATATTTCTCCCCTTAAGCGGACATTACACGTCACATATTGCATATCATTTTAAAGCTTAAAAACGTGGAAATTTTTTTTATACTATTTGACAGTTTTTAACATGACTTGATAAAAAAATGTCTTAAGCGAGTTGTAGTGCCCTTTTTATAGAGTTTTCAAAATTTGTTATTTAAGTCAAATTTACAAACTTTTGAATGGGTTAAGCTGTACCATATTATACGTACTCTGATAGAAAATTAAATGACGATTCTAAAAATGCAACTGAAAATATCATTATTATTAGGTTAAAAGTTTAGAAATATTTGATTTTATTAGGCAATGTCAAGAAATTTGGAAAAATCTAAAAATGGCTGTTGCTGGAAGTAGGTGTGAGATATAAATTGCGTATTTTTATCACAATTTGGGTGCTTAATAATGCCTTAAAATATTTTACACTGACTACCAAACACCCTGTATATTATATTTGATATTGTTCACGTGTAGGGCTACTGTAATAATTAATATTAATAAATAATACACCATAGTACCCTTTTTTTATTATTTTTAAAGACTGGTGCATTTCAACACTAAGTTCATGGTCACAGTCTTTCACAATGTTATGAAATCTAAATATGTAAACAAAGAAAATAAATACAATCACATGTTTAATTTTTAACTTTTTTCTATGTTGTGAGTAGGCTACCTACTGTTACAAATTCAAAAGTGCAAGTTCATCTCCAAAATTCAAACATAATTATAGGAACTTCAAAACAAACAAATGCTAAAATATGAGTTAACATGCGGCTAGAAACATTTCTATCCATATTTCCATTTTTTCTTCCAACTACATTTAAACTTGAATTATTTTAGGATGTTTAGTTACCGTACAGTAAATGTATTTTTTTTTATACAAAAGTAAAATGTCTGTAAACATAAAAACATAATCTTACATACAAGGTTTCTTAAAATCAGGTCAATACTGATGTACACATCCACTCACAGTTTATAGCCTACAAGCAATAGAGCAGAAATGAAAATGATTTTTGATCTGCAAAAAAATCAAATAGAAGAAACATGTTACCTTATGCAAAGAAATTCAAATGTATCACCTTAATAAGAAATTTTTACTTCTGAACTGGTTTAGTTCTCCAAAAACTGTTGTTTAAATCCCTCCCATGCATTACAACCTACACAGTATACATAGTGTTTAGGTGATTGATCACATAGTGTGAGTCGGACTGTCATGAGTCTGGCTCTAAAAAGTCAACGCCTGCCTTGATGTTATAACTTATTGCCTGCCTTAATCTTTCTGATTAATAACTAACATATGTTATTTTTTATTATTATGATTTTTTAAACATTATCCAATTTAAATACACATCAAGTCTATTAATTTTTGTCTTTTTAAAGTCTTGTCTGCCTTTTATATTTTTAATATTGGTGCCGAAACCCGACTTATAAATTATGTCAAAAAATATGTCAATACGAAAGTCAGGGAGAGAGAAACATCCTCCAAATAGATATTCCCCTGAAATTGTAAATGATAAGAATGATGAACCCATAGAAAAAGATAGTCAACCTCCAAAACCCCCTTCTAAGTCAAAAACCACATCTTCAACTTCCAGCAAGCGCCGGTTACAACTGCAACTAGAAGAAATAGAAGAAATGAACAAACTAGAAAAAATGCAAAAAGAAAAAGAAATGCAACGCCAAAGAGAATTCGAGGCTAGAGAACTGGAACGACAACATCAAGCTAAAGAACTAGAACGGCAGAGGCAAAGAGAGGAGAGGGAAATGGAACGACAACGTCAAGCTGAAGCAAGAGAACTAGAACGACAGAAGCGTCTGCTGAGAGTAAGGACCGAACTTGAGTCTGCTTCGGTCTTGGGAAGTAGTCAGTCCGCCTCAGTCTTGAGCAGTTGTCATTTGGAAGATAATGAAGACCCTGACAAGGTAAGCTTCAATATTGCTACTGTTGAGGAGGACTCTAATGTCAAAGTCAAGAGGTGGCTAAATGACCACCTCGTGTCTACTGCTATTGGTAAATTAGCTGACTCCTTTTCAAAAGCTATCAATTCATCTAACCCCAACCAACCTGTCTCTTGCCGAAGGCGCCTTCAGTGGGAAACCAGACGAACGGCCCATGTTCTATTCCTGTTACAATACGACTAAACACCTTTTTAATGACGATGAAAACCTTGACAGAATAAGAAATTGTCTGGAGGGAGATGCCTTTAAAATGGTAAAACCTCTAGGCCTATTTATATCAGGTAAAAATTTGAGTACAGTGATGAAAACTTAACAAATGCGTTTTGGACGTCCAGAGTTTATAGTCGAGTCAATGTTGAAGAAGGCGCGCATGCTCCAACCAGTCAAGGAGGATGACGCTGTCAGCCTTATTGAGTTTTCAACAACTCTTTTAAACCTGACCTCTACCGCAGAATCGTTGGATTTGGAAATGTACCTAATAAATCCTCTCCTGTTGAATGAACTTTTAAGTAAGCTCCCCTATACTCTGAAGTACAGGTGGGCCGAACAAGTGAATAGCATGCATTTAGAAAAACTTACTGACCTGAAAGTATTCTGTAACTGGCTTAAAAATCAGTGTTCCATTATGAGTATTTATTTTCGTCCACCCAAGGAGACAGCGCGGAAGATAAGTGACCCTAAACCAGTTTTGACTAATTCACCCAATGAAAACGTTTGCATGTTTTGCTCGGAGGGTCATGAAACCAACCGATAAATGTAAGCTTTTCAGAAAAGCAGAGGTCGCGCAGCGGTGGAAGATGATAATTGAGAAAAAACTGTGTTTCTTTTGCTTCCGTCGTCACCACATCAAATTTTGCAATTTAAAGAAACCTTGTGGAATCAATGGGTGCAAACTATCCCACCATCGCCTTCTGCATACTGACAGTGCCTCGAAAAATGCTGGACGTATCACTGATAACTTTACTCTGACATGTTTTGAATATGGTAAATTGCACGAAATAGCAAAGGAATCATTTGAGATTGACAACTACGGTGCAACTCTAGCAGAAAACATCTCACAAGAAGAAAGGACCCGAAACAAAGAAATCAAAATCAAAACAACACATTTAGACAGTGTTCCAATCAAAGAAAAAGCGTTAGGGATGGAATGCCAACTACTGGGGGCGTAGAATATGGTTCAGAACTCTGAGAAACATTCTGACATTCTCACTAGTGTCCAGATGGTCCGAATGGTTGGAGAGAGTACGGAAGAGCCTGATGAAGACAAGGAGATAGTTAACGATGAGCCTATAGAAACTTCCAAAATACTCGAAGTCTTGAGAGAAGCCATGCTGGAATATAGTGTCAAAATCGAGAACAGGATCGTCGCAGTAACTGACAAAAGGAGGAAAGTGAAAACAGACAAACAACATAAAGCCAAACCTCTATGGGAAATGAAGAAAACGGAGAACGATTCAGAGTTGATAATTTGTGGTGGATGTGACGTGCAGTTTGACAATACCTCCTTCTACAGACACAAGAAGAAACGTGTGTACTGGAAAGAGCACAAGAATAACGATGACAAGCAAACAAACAAGTGTGCTCAGTGTGGCTGCAAGTTCCCATGTCTGATGGCCTTGTTTAAACACAACTGTAGTCGCTCACAGGAACCTACGATGCCACAATTGTGTCTTGAAGAGCCGATGGCGGAGGTGCTAGGAGACAGCGTGGAGGACATACCCACCTTGTCATCTGTGGAAATCTCCAGAGACGAGACTGTGAGGAGAATTAACGATGGCAAGCAAACAAACAAGTGTGCTCAGTGTGGCTGCAAGTTCCCATGCCTGATGGTCTTGTTTAAACACAACTGTAGTCGCTCAGATGAACCTACGATGCCACAATGGTGTCTTGAAGAGCAGATGGCGGAGGTGCTAAGAGACAGCGTGGAGGACAATCCCAACTTGTCACCTATGAAAATCTCCAGAGACGAGTCTGTGAGGAGATTGTCAATAGTGGACGATTCAGTCAGCCTGGTCAGTGACGAGACCTTTGACATCTCACAGTACCACGGCAAGTACTTCAAGTCCAGCAGTGATAACCAGAGGAATAAGAAGTATTCTGAAATATTCAAAGAAATCAAACAACAAAGAAGAAAACGTAAGCCCAAAGTGAAAATCACTAATGAACTGGTGAGTACCAAAGTTAGCCTTCGCAAACCTCGGCCAAAAATGACTATTGCTCCAAAGAAAAAACGAATGAAAATGAAAAGGAAATCTAATTTTCGAATGGTTAGTTGTCTTGGAGGGGAGAAGATGTTATAACTTATTGCCTGCTTGTGCTCAATCTTTCTGATTAATAAGTAACATATGTTATTTTTTATTATTATGATTTTGTAAACATTATCCAATTTAAATACACATCTTTTTTGTCAAGTCTATTAATTTTTGACTTTTTAAAGTCTTGTCTACCTTTAATATTTTTAACAACGGTATTACTGTTAGAACCAATTTTTTTATACAATACTTAGAACATGTTACAAAATAAATTCTAATTTTTATATAAAAAAATAAAATTTTCTTCAGCTAAAGTTGGATTGTCTAAAAAATTATTGAGAAAGAATTAAAAGTAAAAGAAGAACTTTCATTGAGTTTATTCTCTCCGCACAACATCCTCCTATATCTCTGTATTCAAGACACAGCTGAGTTATGGCTTGGTGTCAGTGATCTCGGAAATGCCGTACATCCCAGCTAATAACCGTCCGTAGTTGGCTGGAATAGGATCCTTGGGGGGAAGATATGGTCCTTGATCCCCCACATACACATATCTATTTACACATTAAGAAAAACACTGTCAGTATTGTATCATTACAGTCAACTTATATAACTTAATACAGTACAGTATTTGAATGGGATGAATATTGAGTATTAAGTTTTCCAGAGATTAGGTGAAATCATGTGTGAATGGCCACGTTAAACAATGCCTATTTTGTTTAAATTATAGAACTTTATGTACCATATTAGGTTTTTATTAACTTTATATAATTTTCCAATTATTTACAGCATTTTAACGTGATAAATAACCACGGATGACCATGTTACATATATGAAGGAAAACATGAAGGGATAAGTTAAAGTTAACAAAGGTAGGAGTGATGAGTCAGTTGATGACATAATTAAACAATGTAAAGTAGCGGGGGTAAACCCTTCGACTGCTGAGACACAGTGACCATTCGTATGGCGGCTCCCGGTTTTACTGGTCTCCTCACATGAAGATACTATCTTATTCTTATTAAAATAGTTTAATTTAGCACTACGGTTCCCTCGTGCCTTCTCGGGCTTGTCGTAAGAGGCGACTAAAAGGGTGACCGACGAACTCACTGGGAGTCCCTGGGAGTGCCCCTGTTGTGTTGCAGGGGTTGATGTGTGCTCTGCACTGCCGATGGGTATTCTCAGTGGGTCGTGAGAAACCAGCCACTTCGGTCCTTGGTCAAGGAGTGCGGCATGGATGCAGAGGTCGGGCTCTGCATTGCGACGGGCGACCCCCGGCACGTCAGGTATCCGGTGCTGGGCAAACGGAGGTCGGGCCCCGGGGAACCGGGGTAGGGGTTTTTGTCCCCGAGGGTATACCCGTTCCTGACTGATGCGGGGAGGTTGGTCACATCCGTAAGGACTGCAAAGTCGAGTCCTGTTTCCTTTGCAAAGAAAATGGGCTCGCTGACAAACATGTAAAGCATATAGCTGGGTCTGGGCAGTGTAGTGTATTTAAAACTGCTCTACAGCAAGCGAAATCTCTCCCACGAAGATAAGAATCCTTCAGTGCAATCTGGAGCGATCCAGGACGGCTGACGCACTTCTTTGTCAGTTTGCCCTCGAACACGATGTCGACGCTCTCTTAATCAGCGAACAGTACCAGTATCGAGATAGGGACCCATCTTTATGGTTCCCTGATAGTCTTGGCACTGCTGCATTCTGGGCTCGTAATGCAGCTAATGTACAAGTGCGGGGTCACGCGAATGGCCGAGGTTTCGTTTGGGTTCGGTGCAGGGATGTCACTTACTTCAGTGCCTACCTTACTCCCAACGAGGCCATCCGTGACTTTCGTGAGAAGATAGACCGCCTAGAAGAGAGCGTGCGCAATACCACAGGACACGTCGTCGTGGGTGGGGATTTTAATGCTAGGGCTGTCGAGTGGGGAATGACCCTCACCAATTCCCGGGGCAAGTACATTCTGGACTTTGCTGCCAGAGCCGGACTCGTTGTCGTCAACGAGGGCAACACGCCAACTTTCCGGCGCCCTGGGATGCGGGGAACGATCCCAGACATTACCCTTGCATCTGAGTCTCTTTTGCCAAGGATCAGAGCCTGGAGAGTCCTGGAGGATTACACGGCCAGTGACCACCAGTACATAATTTTTGACGTCCTCGATGGTCATCAGAGACAAGTGGCAGCGTTTCGTCAAGTGCCCGTTCGATGGAACATTAAAAAACTGGACGTGGCAAAATTCAACGGAGCCATCCTACGAAGAACGCCGGTGGTTCACCCTGCAACTGGCGTGCCTCACGCAGAGGCGTTAGTTGCATCCACGATGAAACTGATTGTCTCGGCCTGCGATGAGTCTATGCCTCGCAGGAGATACCGGTGCAATAAGCGTCCTGTGTACTGGTGGACTGCCGAGATTGCGGAATTGCGTCGAGCGGCATTGAGGGCCAGAAGACTTGCTACCAGGGCTAGAGAACCCCTAGACAGACGGCGTAAGTCGGATGCTTATAGGGTGGCTAGGAGGTATCTTCGTCGAGCCATCAATCGGAGTAAACGCAGTTGCTGGGATAAATTAAGGGACGATGTTGATTCCAACCCGTGGGGCCTGGGTTACAAACTTGTAACCAAGAAACTTGGAACCCGCTCTCCACCTTCCGTCATGGACAGGGTCACTATGGAGAGGATAGTCGAGTCCCTTTTCCCGGCTCACGCGTTGCGCCCACTGCGGGATTATGGAAGGGTGGACGACGTCCCACTTTTCAGCCCTGAAGAGCTGGTGGCGGCCGTCACGTCCCTGAAGAACAACAAGGCTCCTGGTCCCGATGGGGTGCCCGGTGAAGTCCTCAAGAAGGTTTTGACTACCAACCCCTTGATCCTTTTGAGCATGTATAACGCCTGCCTGGTTGAAGGGGTTTTCCCCTTGTGCTGGAAGACAGCTAGGCTTGTGCTTGTTGGGAAGGGCAAGGGAGACCCAGATCTGCCATCCTCTTACAGACCTCTGTGTATGTTGGATACGGCTGGCAAAGTCCTCAAGAAATTCATCCGTTCCCGGCTAAATTCAGCCGTTGTCGCTGCGGGGGACCTCTCCCCTCGTCAGTATGGATTCAGGATGGGGCGGTCAACGATTGATGCGATTGAGGAGGTGAAGCAAGCCGTGATGAGAGCTGAGGATTTTACCCACTACTCTCGCAGGGTTGTGCTGCTCGTAACGCTCGATGTGCGAAATGCATTTAATTCGGCGAGGTGGTGCGATATGCTGGATGCTCTGGAGAACACCTTCCACGTGCCGGCATACCTCATGCGCATCATAGAGGATTATCTCCGGTTTCGCCTCCTAACCTATGACACTGCGGAGGGCCCGCGGACGATGAGTGTCACTTCTGGTGCTGCCCAAGGTTCCATACTCGGCCCAGACCTCTGGAACGTCGCTTATGACAGCCTTCTGAGGTCTGAAATGCCTGAGGAAACGGTCTTGGTTGGGTACGCAGACGACGTTGCAGCTTTGATAGCTGCACGTAGCGTTGAGCTGGCTCAGCTAAAGCTAAACCGAGCTATGCGTACCATAAACGCATGGATGGCAGACCACGGTCTCTCACTTGCTCTGAGCAAAACCGAGATCGTGATTTTGACAAAAAAACGGATTGACACCATCGTGCCGTTGAGGGTGGGAGCCGTCGAGGTTCAAACTGTTCGTTCTGCCAAGTATCTTGGGGTCATGGTAGACAGCAAGCTTAGCTGGCGGGATTAGATCTTCCGTACAGCGGACAAGGCCGCTAGGGTGGTTTCTTCTCTTAGCCGGTTGATGGCCAATGTCGGAGGGCCTCGGTCCAGTCGTAGAAGGCTGTTAATGTCTTCGGTCCAGTCCGTACTCTTGTACGGTGCTGAGGTGAGGGCAGACGCACTAAATAAGGAGGCATACAGGATGCGGCTCGCCCGAGTGCAGCGTCAGGCAGCACTGAGGGTAGCATCTGCCTACCGAACAGTGTCCGAGCCCGCCGCCCTGGTGATTGCTGGAGTCATCCCCGTCAAACTTTTGGCGGCGGAGAGAAGGGCAATTTACCGGCGCCGTGGGGAGGACGAGGCACGAACAGAGGAACGCACCCGCACCTACCAGCTGTGGCAGGAGGGCTGGGAACAGGAGACACGGGGACTCTGGACCAGGCGACTGATACAGCAAGTCCAACCTTGGGTTGATCGGCGGTACGGAGAGGTGGACTTCTACCTCACCCAATTTCTGACGGGACACGGCTTTTTCCGGTCGTACCTGTTCAGGATGGGCAAAGCCGTGTCACCCGACTGCATATACTGCCCAGGCATTCTCGATGACGTGGAACATACATTTTTCCACTGCCAGCGCTGGGAAAGGCCCCGCCTGGAGGCTCAACAATTAATAGGACTGCTGTCGGTGGACACGGTCATACCGATTATGACGGAGGGTGAGGACAATTGGACCTGTGTGTCACATTATATCCAGGGTATTCTCCGCGCCAAGAAGATCGACCTTGACCGGGATGCGGTGTAGGTCATTAAGAATCTAAATGCCAGAAACGGTGCGAGCCCTGAGGGCTTAGGTCACATGTTGGCCAGACTTGAAGTAATGTGACAAACAATTCCAGGTCTGTGTCCAACAGAGTAGAGGGGGTTTTTTAGTGAGTAGTCTGATAATTTTCAGGAGTCTCACACTACAGGCTGGCTACCTGTGTGCGTAAAAGCATTTTCCCTCCTCTCCCTAAAAAAAAAAAAAAAAAAAAAAGCACTACGGTTCCCAAACGATGGGTTGCAGTTTTGGTGGGTCAGAAGAGACCATAATTAAAAATGTTTTTTATTAGACTCTGGACTACTAGAACCGGAATATTTACAGTTATATTTTGGTTTCTGCTATGCACCAGAATAGTGTATCGAGCGGATAATAAAGGGCATGGCTGTACGTGGTGCACTGTATATTAAAATTTTTCAGAATATTCACTGTTTAATGTGATTGACTTGTTTTAGCTTTACACTAAGAATTTGAAATGCTAATTGTTCATTAAACTTTTATTCCTTATTTCTATGTGTGAATTTGAATAGTTTTTGGACATTTTGGACGTGAATGACGCTCTAATATTACGATAATTTTTTCAATGATTTCGCAAACAAAATTTTACAGTATTGCTGCAATAAGCAAAGGGCCGATTTAGCAAATTTGTTTTTGGTTGATTCTTTAGGACGTGTAAATTATCGTGGTGTTACTACAAATTCGGACGATGATTACGACGTCACCGTAATCGTTGTAGATGATCACTTTAGCCTCAGTTACAGAAAATAGTTAATATCGATTTGTAATATATACACAACATTGTGTATACAAACCTAAACAAAATCTACTAAACAACTTCAGTACTTTTTTATTACAGCCCTTACACGCGGCCGGGTCAGTACAAACCTACACTGCAGTGAAAAAATCTTAAAATCTGTCGCTGAGTGCGAGCCTAGCGTCGGTCTAAGGCGGACCTTTTCCCAGTGCTCGATTTGTTAAAAATGAGATGCCGGAACTGCCTATTTAATGTGACTAGTGTACCTGTTGCTC